TAGCTACCCGGAGATCATTAGCCTGGTGCTTAGACAACTAGTCTATAAAATCCATCAGATAACCAGGACACAACACGTACCTCAACTAATTTTAGAGCGTTGCTAGTAGTCTGCAGACTACACTGGTCTGAATCTTGTCGCGACCAATACTTTCATCACAATCATCACACTGTGTTTTGCTTTGTTTTCTAATGATAATTTTTCGACCATTTGTCCTATTTTAAGCCATATTTCGTCATGAAGTGACATTAGTTAAGGAGCGATTAGGAAATCAGTGGACTGTAGTTTCCTAGCTCAGGATTCTTTAGAAGTGTTTATCAGTGACCCCACTAGGAATGGAATCTAGGATCTTCATATGTTATTACTTCAATAAAGAAACACGAAGCCACGAAAATGAGACAGAATGTGGTTTGATAGATGTATAACCACCTTGTGGTAGATTAGCCATCTATGTTACTTCATTGTTTTCGTATTCTCTTGGATTCCGAGTGGAACATTGTGCTTCAACATCACATCTCCACTTCGTCCTATTTTCTGTGGTCCTTTTTGGCTGATCCCAGGCTTACTCATAGTTTCTCATCTTCATCTCGGATGACTTCCTACATGTCACCCTCACACCCGTGTCCAACTCGTTTCTCGTTCAGGTTCAACTCGACAGCCTGGTGTGGGATGTAACCCGACCATTTCCTCGATGCGGGTCTGATCTATCTCCATTTTCTTCCACATATATACTGAATAACAGGTTCTTGGCTAGTTAGTTACTTCCAAGATTTTTCTGACGCTCATTCTTTCTTGCCAGCCCACCATCTGATCTTCTACATGGAACCAGCTTGGGTGGCAAATGTTGATAAAAGTCTGCAGCATTCAGTGACATCTCGGCCAAGTTTCTGACCTATATAGAAGAACTGACTGACTTGAAGCTGGTGTTGAAAAACCAGATTTTTCTCCTTCATTTTATGAAGTGCGGTAGGCAGATTTACAAATCGATTTCAGAATAATGAAGATCTGTTTTTATTTTCCGATCCTGGTTGGCTTTGACATCCGCATCTGTACTGCCTATACTAAATGTCACTATACAGCTAAACGATAAGTCAATTAAGACCACAGATATTACGTCATCCTTTAGTGAAATATTTTACACCTAGATTGGTGAATGGTAAAAAGTAGGGACCAGTTTTGTTTTTATTTTTATAACACGGATATCGAAGTGGACTTCTTGTGAGGACCATATAGTATTCGGTGAACTGCCTTGTGCTTAGGCATCATTACATTATATAATGTCATTTTAGTAAAATTAAAGCTTCATTTAATATTTCAATTAGTATGTGCTACCAAAATGTATAAACTATTTTTATCCGAGTCAATGATCAAAATAAACACCTTTTTTTCCTCACATTTTCTTCAGTTCCAAGAAAACTTTGACTAGACAAACGAAAGAGACGAATTTAAGGTAACCCAACTGAAACTTTTTAGTGAAAGCTGAATAAAGCAACACCTGTAAAATCTGCTAAAGACAGTCCGTTAAATTCTCGTGGACAGTTAAGTGTATCATACACTGTGTTAATACAGAATAAGCACGAATTCACTTTTTATCACACGAACTAATTTGATGAACTTCCTCAGTTACAGTGAGATAGTGAATTTTTTCCAGGCCGAATCGCTAAATTATACAAAAAGTTTATTTTAAAATTCTTCTACGTTTTGAAATTTCTGTAGATATTGGGTTGGATAGCCAGTCCCACACTCAAGCATCTCCCTTTGTTTACAGGCACCTAGGGCTGACTAGTTAGTACACTTAGCACACCAGTCACCAGCAGTGGAAGAAATATGAAGGATCTCATACTCCCTTTCACTTATCTAGACAGTATCGTTTCAACTACAGACAGCCTAGATCGGACCTACATTCATTTGAATTCAATGTGGAAATCTGCTACACTCAGCAGAAGGAAGACGATTCAGATTTTCGACACTAATATAAAGTAAGTCAGTGCTTCAATATGCTTCAAAGAAGTTTTGCGTCAACAAAGGCTGAAGACTTCTGTCAACACATTCTTTCACCTCATAGTGAAAAACATATGGCCTGCTTGAAAGTATAGGTAAAAACATACGCCGCGCAACGCACAGCACCTTATGGTGGAACTCGAATGTGAGGTGATGAGTTGAGCGTGCGTCGAAATATGACCTGGAGGAGATTTTATGTGGAAGGGAGCTTTTGTAAGACTGTAGAAGACAGAGTGAAGTGTTCACAGACTACTGAGGCCATATGTTTCATTTTTGGAACATTAAGGAATAATATAATTTTTAAAAAATTGCAAATATATAAAAGTACGTTAAATCTAACAAGTTTTTCCTACATTAAAAACCGATTACTCAGTAAGTGAACAGCTCATAGGCCAATGTAAACACAATACATTGAAACGAGATCGTCTAAGCAAATACGTGTGTTCATTTATCGATTTGTCTTGTATTTTAACTGTGCCCACCTTGTCATCTTCTATAGGTGTAACTTGACTCAAAGTGTGCACTATGCTTTTTACCAAGAGCCATTAGATCTCAAAAGAAAATTGGCTCTTAGTATTGGAATTTTAAGGTATTTCATAAAGTGTGCAGCTATTCTGTAACTTATTTATAAATACAAGCTGGTTTATTCAGGAAGTAATCAAAAAATGGTAATTATATGTAATGAAAATGCATAATAACGCTTAAAGAATAGGTTATAAAGATAAAGACATAAAACAGGAGATGTGCCGCCATGATATATGCATTCTATATCTAAATGTTAACAGAAAAATTGACCAATAAATTAATAGTTCGATAATACAACACTAGTTAGACTCTAGTAATCATCTTGAATGATGCACAAAACGTCAGCAATATTTTTTTGTTCTTTGAGATAAGTTTTTGTGAAGTATCTCAACCAAGTCACATAAATGTATGTCGAAATGCTTTCAGAATAAACCATGATTTAAAGTAGTTCGACAGCTATGAAATCTGTGGGAAGAAATTACGGAACAAGTTACAAGTGGTAGAAGTGACGATCAATAAAAATATTCGAATCACACACAAAAGAGTGATTCTCATCATCACGCATTTGATTTTGTTCCTTATACCGCAACTTTATTATTATTGTGAACTCTTATTAAAGACACTTGGAAGCAATAATTAAGAACAGTATCGATTCAAAATCAGTATAGAGGCATAATGAAGACGGTCATCTGGGAAGAAGAACCTAGTATCTTAGTGAATAAAAGACGACTCGCAATTCACCGAACAGCTTAACAGGAAGTTCAGTAGTAGCAGTGTCCCTAAATCGCATATTTTCCGAATGAATCTAGAGATTGTGACTTCGTTTGATTTACATTATAGCGTAGGTAGAAAGTGACTACCTGCCTAAGGCTCAAATCTTACTACAAAAGTGGGGAAGACAAAATGAAGACTGTGGACCTAAACGGTTGTTTTATTACCAACATATGCATTAATCAGGTAAAGATCATTGCTGTAAATCACCGCATAATTAATCCACATTTCGTGAATAATTAAAAAATACAAAAAGTGAGTTTGTTCTAACTGCTAAAAAGTAAGTCCAAAAATCTTAAGAACTTACAAATAAACCAGGAGTTGATTATAAGCTTGATGTGTATTGCGTGCGACTGCAAACCATTTTCATGACACAAAATGAAGTATTATTTGCATACAAAACATTCATAAAGCAGAATCAAATTACAACAGCTTCACGCAGCTATACTTATTATATTGAAATTTTTGACGACTTGCTTAGCTGTAAACATGGATTTGATTTTTTGATTTTTATTTTGATTACAGATTGATTCCACGCTGTATTTTTGGTAAAGGTATGGGATTTTCAGCATGTAATATCGGTATCCCGAATTTCGCAGGCTGACCATAGATATCAGGTGTGTGTCGGTAGGGGATAGAAGCCCGGACCATGTGCATGGCCGGTGGGAGTCCTAACCACTGTGCCACCGACGCAGATATTAGCTTTGAAAACGCGTCAACTTAACAAGCAAACGAAATGAAACACCATAATAAAGGCGTCGGCCTTGTGAAAAATTAAACAGCGTCCCCTACATAACTGTGAAATAAAGGTATATAATATGGGCTGTAAAATTCAGTGCATATGCATTTTTAGTTCAAAACAATTTCATTTCCGTATTTCAAAGAAAGGATACTGATATCAATGCATTCTCTTAGAAATGCTTCCTGAAAACACATTTAGGCAACTTTCAACATGGAGAAAGTTGACCAATCAGGATTACAGAATAAGGACATTATTTACATACACAAATGCATTCACCAAGCATCAAGAAATCATTGTAATAGTATGATAAAACATCATTTATTTACACTACAGAATGAAGAATAAGAAAGTAGTAAAAACTCTTTCAGAATTTACCCTTCACAAACTTACTTCAGACTCACGGAGATTGGTGTCTTGATTACCTCAAGACACTAACCATTTCATATTTGGAACAACTTCCAAAAATAACATTAAACGTGAGCTGTGTACGCAGAGATATCCACCTCATTTCAGTGAGCTTCCTTATTTTTCTGCAATATTCAAAGGTAACTTTGCAGAGGAAAGTAGTGTCAATGTGACCACCTATTGAATACATCACTTTCGAAATAAAAAGGAGCTTTAAAACTGTACTGGATAGGCAAGGTGAAATAAAATTGCAGGAGAGATTTTAGTTAGTGACCAACTACATGAAGCACAACTACGAATGTTAAATTTAGTGACATCACACTAAGATAAACGTAGTAAAGTTTGATCAGACTAATTTCAAAGACTGAATGTGACACAGCAATCTCTAATTAAGTTAATATTTCAAGTATTCATGTATCCGGTTAGTTTTATGTATGTAATTCCGTCCAAAAAAATCATATGGAAACGAAAATGCTGTAATTCATTGTATTCATATAAAATTATTTGCACGCACAATACACAAAAAACGTGCATAGCTAGAGTAATCAGTACTTACCATTTAGAATACGATTGCTTTTCTCGCCACCACAGACTGAAAATGTAACTGACTTCTTTTCAGAATGCGTCGATAACCGTCTTTCGTTTTTCTGAATGGGTGGTAAATCACCTCTTTTTGATAGACATGTTGGCAGTTCGACATTTGTGTCCGACTTGGTTCCATGTCTTGAAAAAGAGCTATTCCTGGACAATTTTGCATCTTCTGAAAGTCTGCTGAGATTATTTCCATGATTCTCCATCGATTATTTTTCAAACATTTGACATCACATTATTAAAACAGGAATTCGAGAGATTTTCAAAAAGTTAACAGTTTTTCAAGGTCAACGTTCACTTAGATTAGCGCGAAAAAACGTCGTCAGATTTAGTAGTATTAGTAGAAGAATCTTTTCACTGGTCATAAGGCGAACTTAAGGTGTGGAGTTTTTACATGAATTACCTTACACTGATTGGCGGAGACTAGAGAATATTTGGTCTGAATCGATATCCACACGGATGTTTCGGCATTGGTATGCACTGTTGTCTTTTCTTGACGAAAGGTTTCACAATGTATAAGTATGAATTTTCAGTGCAAATCGAACACCACAGATTCATGAGATTTTTGGTATGTGGAACTGTTTTCACAGCATCTAATTAGATGCTAGTACAAGTTCCAGAAAGCATTTCCACCGCGCGAACAATGTAAAAGGAGTCAATTGAGTTACGGGCTCCAAAAGCCTATAGATTTACTTTAAATCAGTTTATTATGATATAAGTTAGTTAACGTTTCATTTATGAGTCTCTTTATTTATGCGAAGTTGTGTTCTTACAACTCGATAGTTATATACATCCATTTCCGTGCACTCACTGGTTCTTTTATCGCTGATATATAAAGGTCATATATATGGAGTCATATTTGAATCTTTTATGCAAATTTATCCTGAAAAGCATGCCTATCAGCGAGAAACTCCTTGAAAGGGATTTTGCCAGTTTTCAGTTGAAGAAAGAATACAAATTGATACCTGCGGGAGATGTTTCATAGCATGTGGACAAACCTAACTCCTGAAACATACAAGCACTGCTGCAAACCTCTGACGAGCTAGCTGTGCGATGACTGCTGTACAAGGATTAAGTTCTGTATAACGGAAGCGATTGCTACTTTCAGTGGGGCTCTAAAACTCATGGACTGCAAGGATCTTCCAACACAGTAGATGAGCGACTACTTCTCAGACATCGATGACATGACTAGCGCCATCGACAAAACATTACACGGTCCTGATGCTTCTCTGTCAAGGAGTGAGTGCTCTTCAGCAAAGAAGAGCACCCAGCATATTTCAGACAACCATGCTGCCCCTGCGATACCGGATAAGCCCTACAGTGACAGTTATGGAAAGGCTGCCATGAGGAAGAGGCGTACCAGAGACTTGTAAATCAACCCTTGTCCACGCCGGTGGGTAGCAGGCAGATACAATCGACTACGATTAGCGACGGGGACGCCAAAGAATGGAGTGATGTAGTTCCGCGCAAAAAGTAAAATAAGGACAACATAATGGCCACATTGTCCACGAAGGATGAAAAGACATTTACTCCGCAGAGCCAGGAAGCCACGGCAAAAAAAGTGAGAAAATCACCGGCCTCCAATCCCAAAAGTCAGGTTCGGGCATGAACTTAGCTTGATCAGGCCCCTTCCAGATAAGCTATTGATAACATCAGTATCAAGCATAACCATACATAGCTTGTGTGGAATCGGCCATAAGACTGATTATACAGTAAATCATCCTGTGCGTCTTCTCAAAGTCCTACTAAACGACAAAGAAGAGAGGGATACCATTCTAAGCCACTCCCGACTTCTTCAAGCTTCAGACATGCCTAGCAGACCCTGTCAAAAGACAGTCGAAGGATCTAGAATAAATCGAACGACTTCGAAACGGCAAAATACCTTAAGATTAGGGGTTTTTGAGTTGTCAAAGTTCGAAGTGTGATGATTCCGAAACCTCTCCAGGTAGGCTACGCTAGCACCAAACTGAGTTAACATTTCGCTACACAAATGTTTGCAGCCTGTAGAACAGACGAGCTGAGGTGGTTAATATGATGGACAATGCAAATCCAGATGGAATTATCATAACAAGCACATGACTCACAGGCGACGCCACTGGTAACGAAGTTAGCCTACCGAACTTCGAAGTGCACAGGGTGGACTGACCAAGCCGCGTAGTTATCTACCTCAAGAAATGCTTAACCATGCGTGGCGTTGGTGCGCTCGCTCACGAAAGTGAATCTTGTGAGCCTCTACTCTGCAGACTTAAATGCATAGGCCAAGACACTGACCCCATCGTTATGTACCGTAGTCCTGAATGCAGTGAAGCTGACCTCCTAAAAGGGAAGCCAGGAAGAATTCGAAATTTCGAAGTCTCATGGTCGGCGACTTCAATACCCTAACAGTTGCCTGGGCGAACTGCATTTCAGTCAAATCCTTTGATCATAAACTGCTGGAATCTAGTACTTCACCGGCCCTAGTCCAACATGTCATTAAGCCGACGCGCTATGAACCACAGCACTCCTTTCCAACTCTGGACCTAGTGTTTTCCCATGGTGAGGATGTGGATCTCATACAACTTCTTCCTCCTTTAGGAAGAAGTGATCACACTGTGCTCACTTTTGAGTTCACAGAAGCAGCATCATGGGCCGAAACCACAGCTCCACCGAACGTTTGGAAAGCTGATATAGATGTAATCGTCGCGGCAGCCAACTCAGTGAATTGGTACATCAACATTCCAAGCGTAAGCAGCATGGGACCAATAAAGCCAACTTTACGCCCAAGAAACTGAACCTTTCATCCCTTGGTCTGTCGCAAATGGTCGGAAACATTGCCTTCCTTGGATAAACCAAGAGACTTGTAAGTTACCCAGACATAAACAGAAATGTTGGAACCTGTTAGTTACATCTGTGATTCCTGAGACCGGAAAATTATATAACATTACTAGGAATAAAGCTATTGCAGAAATCCGATAATCAAGGGGGAAGTTCGAAGGACATCTGCCCCAAAATACATAGGCTTAACCTAAGAAAATTTTCTCATGCATCAACTTCAAGAATAAAACATCTAATGGTGTCTCAAACCTGACTATTGACAACGATACAATCGAAGAAGACCCAGAAAAAGCAGAAGCAATGGCAGACTACTTCTCCCAAGTCTTCACTAAAGAGTCATCACTCCCTACAGGATCAGCTCTGCCTGCATCAGAGGAATACGGGATATATTCCGTTGACATCGACCAAGGCATCGTGCTCAACTGCTAAATGAACCTAGATGCGGGGAAATCAATGGGTCCTAATTATCTTAATCCAAGGCTTCTCAAGGAGCTATCAGCTCACATACCCAGTCCATTGACCACTATCTTCGAGCTATCTATCCAAAATGGAGTAAACTGCATGACTGGAAGGACGACGCTATAGAAGCCCTCATACACAGAGGAGGATCATGACAAAGCCCTTCAAACTATAGGCCTATTAGTCTTACTAGCACTTTAATGAAGAAACTGGAAAGAATCAACGACGAACGTATCGTGACATATCTGGTAATCAACAGTCTGTTACCTAGGGCACAGAGTGGGTTCCGAGGAAACTCCTTATGCCTGTCAAATCTCAGTGCGAGGGAAAGCCGGACCAGGAAACCCTTTGACGTCGTCTTCATTGACTTCAGTAAAGCCTTCGATAAAGTCCCCCACTAAAGACTACTGAAAAAGCTGGAAATTCTTGGTATCAAAGGCAGATTACTGAACTGGTTTAGGAAATTCTTTGAAGACAAGAGACCGAGAGATAGAACCAACTCGAAACCCTCCTCCTGGACGACAGTACTTGGTGGATCAATAGGCTAACTCTGCTCACCGATTTTCCTATGGTCCTATATACAGATGATTTAAAAATTTGAAGACAGCTGAGGGGCAGGAGTGATACGCTCACGTTGCAAGAAGACCTCAACAAACTGTCAGAGTGGTCCAGAGAATGGATGCTCCCTATTAATGTAGCAAAATGTGCAACCATGCGCATCGGACACGCAAGCATCAGCACCCACGAACTAGAAGGAACAACACTCCCATCAGTTCGGACTCACTAGGATTTCAGTGTCATTTAAAATTACAGCACACTGTCGCGCAGTAGCTGCACGTAGTTTCACGGGCGATCCGCAAAGCCTTTACTAGAATAACCAGAGGCATTTTCACCTTTTCATGTACATCTCTGGTGAGTTCGAGACTGAAAAATTGTGTCCAGGTAGCCAGTCCTTGTCTCAAAGGGGACTCACATATTATAGAACGGATCCAAAAGAGTGTGTCAGCCACGTATCGTACACCGTCAATGCCCAGCCCTTGCTACGCTGGGACTCACGCTGTTCCTTGAAGTTTCTCAGAAACGCTTAGTAATAACTGATGCAAAATCCAAAACACCGATCGGCGACTCGAGAATTCTTTATTGTAACACCAACATATAGCCAACTTTAAAACTAAGCTTTAAAACTAAGGTATATGAACAAATATTACAATAATAAATCACAATATTACTTCTGACGGCTTACTGCTGACTTCTTTCTGAACAGCGACAGATGAGACGATGACTGGTGTATTGATGTCTCCGCGAAAATATAGGGAAGTTGGGTTCGAGCAAACAACCATGAATTGATCGTTCAATCTTCAACTACATTGACAGAGGGCAACACGTATGATTCTCAGAGTGACTAACTTATCATACTATCAAAGACTAGACAGTTTAAATCTCTTCTCCCTTTCACACTTTAAGCAGAGAGGAGATTTAATCACAATGTTTAAAATTTTAAATAATGATTACGGTCCTGAATTGTTCTCCCTTATCTTTTCCACTAGGTAGGAATACCTTAGAGGACATAGGTGGGCGGTTCAAAATCCAAGAGGAAACCATATTGCTGTGGAGTACTGGTTCTCACATGGGGTCATAAATCCTTGGAACCGACTACCAGAAGAAGTGGTGTCTGATTCACGAAAAAAGTTTGTACAAGCACAGAAATTTACTATGAAAAGATTAACGCAAGCACCAAGCATTCTCACCTCAACCAACAAATCTGAATCTATATAATTTTATTGGTGTCTGGTCAGCTTCATTTCTGTGTATTATTTCGGGAAAGATGCCAAAAGAACACACCACAGTTTTATGGTCACTACCCGGAAGTTCATGTCCCACATATACTGTAGATGGTGTTAGGTTGTTCGGGAAATAAGGTCTAGGATATTTG